TTCCAGGCTGGAATTACAGCTGGCCTTCGTGCCCACCCCACACACGCATGGGTTCAGGGGACACAAACTCTGGCCCTCGCATTTGGGTGTCACGTGGTTAACCACTGAGTCTCTCACCAAGGTTAGCGCTCGTTTTATTTATACACATACACACAAAAATATAAGTGTTGACCTGCCTCCCAAAAAACCATAATGCACTTAAGAACATACAAAGATTGATTTTTATACCACACTGATGTTACTTTCTTGAAATTTTCACTCGTTGTCCTTCAGCCCATTTCCTCCATTCCTGCTCTGCCCAGTGTAAATATGCTTCCTGGGGTGGCAGTGTAGCTCAGTGGCAGTGCCTTGGCATGCATGAGGTCCTGGACTTTGTTTTTTCTTTTAATATTTATTTATTTATTATGTATACAATATTCTGTGTGAATGTCTGCAGACCAGAAGAGGGAGCCATTACAGATGGTTGTGAGCCACCATGTGGTTGCCGGGAATTAAACTCAGGACCTTTGGAAGAGCAGGCAATGCTCTTAACCACTGAGCCTTCTCTCCAGCCCTAGACTTTGTGTTTTTTTTGTTTTGTTTTGTTTTTTTTGTCTTTTTGAGACAGGGTTTCTTTGTAGCCCTGGCTGTCCTAGAACTCGCTCTATAGAGCAGTCTGGCCTCAGACTCAGAGATCACCTGCCTCTGCCTCATGGGTGCTGGGATTAAAGCCCAGCTGATGTCCTGGATGTCTTAGCAGATCTACAGGGCCTGATGCCCTCTTCTGACCTCCACAGGTACCGCATACACGTGACATCCACTCCCATAGACAATCAAAATTATTTAAAGAACAATCCCAAGCTAAAGAAGGAATAAATGGAAATATAAAAGTATTTAGAATCTGAGAACAAGACCAAGTCTGTCACAGAACAAGGGCTCCTGGGGCTGGGGACCTGCCTCAGGTACCTCCAGTATAGCATGAAGGCCTGCCTTTGGATCCCCAGCGCCCATGTGGAAATTGCAGCTGTGGTAGAACACACCTGTAACCCCAGAATGAGGAAGGCAGGGACACAGATTCCTTGGAGCTCGCTAGCCAGTCAGCCTAACCAGGTAGTGGGCATCAGGTTCAGTGAGAGGCCCTAGCAGAATAATGTGGAAAAGTGAGTGGGTACACCCATATCGACCTCTTCCCTCCACACATGATACATGCCTGTAGTCACCAGCACTTGGGAGGATTAGTAGTTTGAAGCTAGCCTGGGCTATATGAGATCCTGTCCCTTACAGATACCACAGAGTAGTTCTTGGGTGGTTATGCCTATAAAGTATATCTCATAAATATATGAACGGCAAGTTGTCTTTGTTGAAGTAGGTACCAGTAGTAAGTTATATACAAAGAGTGGGCTTACAGGCTGATGAGATATGGATACTGATGACCCGAGTTTGATCCTCAAGACAATTGGTGGAAGTGTCGGGGACCAGCCTCGACAAAAATACCTCTTGCCAGAAGAGAGGCGTAGGGATTTAGAAAATAATAATAAAATGGAGAAAATAATAATAAAATAGTATTGGGAGGGAATTGCTTAAAATACCCCTGACCCCAAAAGTAGGAGTAAGACAAAAGACTGTATTGACATGATACAAGGAAATGAACAGACCAACTGAAGGTCGAGGGCTGCATTCATAGTTAGACACTCTGTTGCTAGAACAAAACATTCTGTAGGCAAACCGCTCCTGGGTGGAATCAATCCTTAAGGGAACTAGAACTTAGTAGGATCCTTAGACTCTTGTTTGAGGTAGGTCTGTTGATCTACTTCTCTATTTCTGGAATACAAGGGCTGGCTATTAGCCACACCTGTAGACAATAACCTTGAGAGACCAGAACTCTGTTGTACAGCTAGGTGGGACTTTTGAGGTAGTAACACAATAACCCTGAAGAAACTAGAGGTTAAGTTCCAACTCTGACCTTTGGTCAATGTGGAAATAGGCTCACATCAGGCCTTCACATCAGATTCCTGCAAGCTGTCCCGACTTCCACAGGCATACCCAGCTACTGCATAAGTAAATTAATAAAAGCATGGACTAGTGGAAAGCAAGTCCAAGAAAACAGCAGAAGAAAATATTTGAACATAAGATTAACTAGGCACAGTGTAAAAAGACAAAAATAGACGAAAGTGGAGTATGACTTTGGGGGTGGGTGTCTGGACTGGTTTTTGGTGGTAAAGACACTGTGGTCTAGCATCACACTAGTAATACATTCCAGTAAAGGGACGTCACCGTCAAGTTAACACTAGGAGCCAGTGAAGTGCCAGCTGCCTATTTACAGGATGCTCCTTCCAGTCATTGCAGGAATATAGTGTTGTCATTACTAGCAACAGTGTAGTGGAGAAAGGAGCTTGGGATTTAAAATTAAGAGATCATTATTGCCCAAAAGCTCTTGGAAAGTTCCGTAACTCCTGACTTAAAATCCTGGGTTTGCAAAGCATACTCTGTCCCTGATTTGCTTTTCCCTCTAAATCACATAAACACAGGATTAGAACCCCAAAGGAACTAGCTGTTCATCTTGCTGGAAACCGTTGGTGTCTTCTGTTTGCACAGCACCATAGAAAAAGAAAAATTAGGCTATTGAGATGACTCAGCAAATAGTCTCCTGCCACCAAGCCTGGCCACCTGAACTCAGTCCCTAGGACCCAAATGGTGTTAAAAAGAAAACTGGTGCAGGTGGTGCGTGGTGGTGCGCACGCCTTTAATTCCGGGCAGAGGCAGGTGGATCTCTGTGAGTTCGAAGCCAGCCTGGTTTACAGCAAGAGTTTCAGGACAGCCAGGGCTACACAGAGAAATCCTGGTGGGGAGAAGGACTGACTTCCTCTAGTTGTCCTCTTACTTCCCCATGCACACCATTCTCCACCTTGAAATAAAATAGAGAAACTAGCACCATCTAATACAGATTACACAGCTAAAAACTAGACAGCATTTCAACCTAACACATCTAGGTACACAAGGGTTTGGATTCTCTTAAGAGACATATTAAATATAAACATCCAAAGACCATATAAATTTTTACATATATCTAAAATAGGTTGAAGAACTAAGGAATCCATAGAAGACTAATAGTAAAGTTGAAATTACATTCAAAGATGGATATCAAGCCCGTATTATTTGAGGGGAAAGTTAGATCTTCAAAAATAGAATTCCAGGTTGGAGAAATGGCTCTGTGATTAACACGCTTCTGCAAACATGAGGCCCCAGGTTCAGATCTCTAGCACCCATGCAGAAACAAGCTGGGGCAATACACACACCGTTTTGGGAGTAGGCTCCCTCTTCTTTCCTGAGGGCTTGTCTGGCTAGCCAAAGTAGCCTAATCACCAAACTCCCAGTTCAGCAAAGAGACTCTTTAAAAAAAAAATCCAGCCTGGCAGTGGTGGTGCACGCCTTTAATCCCAGCATTCGAGAGGCAGGCGGGTCTCTGTGAGTTCGATACCAGCCTGGTCTACAAGCGCTAGTTCCAGGACAGGCTCCAAAGCTACAGAGAAACCCTGTCTCAAAAACAAACAAACAAACAAACAAACAAATCAATCCACACTACTGTGTGCATGAAGTGCTGACCAACCTGTGGTAGGTGTATAAACCAGCACAGCACCAGACTAACAGCTGAGTGGGACTACTTCTACATCGAGCTGCAAGTCACATATGGGCATTACCTTAAAATCAGGGATAGCCGAACACACACAACAAAATGTTCAAATGTAGCACCCACCTGGGTAGAGTGGTGCACCTTATGGGTGAGACAGAAAAATTCAAGGCCTGGCTGAGCTGGATAGGGAGACCCCAGGTTTTTGTCTTTTTTTTTTTTTTAAAAAAACAATTTGGTGCTTATGTCCTTGGGTGTATGTGCATGTAGATGCCCACAGAGTCAAGAATAGGGCATCAGATTCCCTGGAGCTCGAGTTACAGGTGGTTGTGAGCCACTCAACATGGGCTACTCCCCATCTTGGGTCCTCTAGAGCAGCAAACGCTCTTGACCACTGAGTCATCTCCCCAACATCCAATACCCCATCTTGAAAAGCATAAGATGCAGATTTGAGCTCAGAGAAGCAGGATGGTAACCCCATGAGGGCTGGGCTGCAGACTCAGGCCTATGTCTGACTTCTCTGCCTAATTGTGCTCAACGCACTGTCCCTTCTCTCACCAGGAGCCGATCAGGCCTCTATAACCGCCAGGAATCACATCCAGTTGGTGAAGTCGCAGGTGCAGGAGGTGCGCCAGCTCTCCCAGAAAGCAGAAACCAAGCTGGCTGAAGCACAGACACAAGAGTTGCACCAGAAAACCCAGGAAGCCGGTGATGAGAGGGCTGACCAGGAAGAGGAGGCCTACCTGCGGGAAGATTGAGGCCTTGAGCCCACTGCCCTATCTGCCCACTCAGTGGGGAAAGCGGGCGATGACATCCACCTGGTGTCACCCCCAACTCTGCAGAGACAACAGGCTCTGCCCTTGCCGGTCAGACCGGAAGCCTTTTGTGAGCTGTGCCTGCCCTGCCTGGTTCTTGGCCCTTGAGCGAGGTTCATCCAACACTGTCTCACTCAGCACCTCTCTCGCCAATTTTTTTTTTTACCTTACACCCAAAGTATTTTACCAACTTGGGCCAGAGGAGGAGGGGCCTTTTCTGCCATACCCTCAAGTTCAATTGCTGTTTAGCTGCAGTTTTTAATATTACTCAGATTTTCAAGTATAATTTAAAGTTTGCTCTAAAAGAGGGAGCTTGTCTGGTTTGTAAGATTTGTGTTTCTAATGTCCCTGTGAGCACAGCTCAGCTAAGGAGTTTCTCAGAGTGTGACTGCCCCTGGTGCTCCCCACAAGCCTCTAACACATGCTTCCTGGTCGCCCCTTCAAGTTTCTCTACTATATCCAAAGGAAGAGAAGTTTGGTGTTTGCATTAAAAAAAAAAAAAAGTCACGCAGTGTCTTTCCTTCATTGCCTAGGCTGGGGGAGTTGTAGCCCCGGGCCTTCCTGTGGCAGACGCTCCCATTCCGCAGATGCTGGACAAGCTTGCCAGGTTTCAGCACTTTTAATCAAATAAGGTTGGTGGCATTATAGAAATGAAGAGCACACTTCCTATCGACCAGCAGGGACCTGGTTTTCAGTTTCTCCTGGTGATAGGAAATCAGCAGCCACTCAAAAGCTGTTACTCAACCCACCCTTCAGGGCTAGGGTTAGTGGGTAGCTGCACACTTGAGCCTTTCATCTGTCACCAGCGCCCACATGGTCCACATCTCCAGGGGGTTTAGACGGTGCACCAGCAGAAGCCCTCTGTACAGGCAAGGGTCCCAGGGGTTCAGGGGCTTTTGGATCCCAAATGTCTTGAAGCCAGCGTGGTGTATGGGGCTCAGCCCTAGCTTTTTCAGGCACATTCCCACAAAGACATCATCAATGGGGAAGAGTTCTGCCTCTTCCATGGCTGAGTGAAGTCGCCTCACAGTAGCCTGGGACATAACATAGCCTCCTCCTCCTGCATAAGGTGGGTAGTTGCGGGCCCTGTACATGGAGAATGGGATGAAATATTTGACTTTGGTGTTCCTATTGGGCCGGGCCTGGCGGATGACATCTCCCACTAAGAGGTCCTGGGTAGGATCCCAGCCCTCCAGGAACTCCAGCACATTGGGAACATGGATAAAGACATCATCATCTCCCTTTAGTACGAAATGGGCCTGCGTGCAGGCAGCTGCCATCCAGCGCTGCACATGCAGCTCCTTCAGCGTCAGGTTGAAGAAATCCTCAGCAAAGTCCCACTGCAGGATATCATCGAACTGCCAGCTCTCATAGGCCAGCAGCTGGGCTGGGGGCACAGGTCCTGCTACCCCTAGGAGAAACACCAGCTTCAGCTGCCGGCCCCTAGCCCAGCTCCCAGCCCGGCCCCAAGTGCTTCTAATTGCTGCACGCTGCTCAATATGATGAGGCTGTGACTTGATGACCAGGAGCAGGAAGGTGTCCCTAGCACACTGAGAAGGCTCCAGCAATGTGGAGAAGTTTCGGCAGTGTCGATAGGTTAAGAAGAGGCGATGGCGGCTGGGCAGGGACAGGGAGGCATTAGCAATTGCTAAATTGGGTGGGCACTGGCTGTGCTGGGGCCTTGGCAGCGCCCATAAGTGCTTGTGGGCCTTGGAGCTCCCTGTTGGTGTGCGCTCCTTCAGAAAGAGCAGGCCGCTGAGCAGCAGTGCCACAAGGCTGCAGGACAGCACACAGCCCAACCTGCGCAACATAGTTGAGGCCCTGTGGGGAGAGAGCACCTGAGTCCCAGGCCTTTTGAAAGAGGTAACTTCATGACAGGGCAACAGGCAGTGGTGGTTCACAGAACAAAAAAAATCACAGCGTGAGAGGGGGAGGGGCAGGGCTCATCCAAGGAACTACAGCTTGGGCTTCATGCCGCCCTCTCGAGTTCTGGTTCAGGAAGTCTTACGGGTGACCCAAACACAAATGGTATTCACCAGTCGCCTGCCCAAGGCCTGTGGTAACATAGTTCATCCTCACTTTCCTTACTGTCATTTGTTCCTCCAGGTGTGGTCCAGCCTTGTCTTGCATCCTGCTTAAAAACGTTTCTGATTCCCCCTACCCCCAAGCAGGATCTCATGCCCGGAAATAATCTCAAATTTGCTGTATAGCCACAGATGTTAAACACCTGACCGTCCTGCCTCCATCTTGTCAGCACTGGGATCATAGGCAAGTTTCATGTGGCGCTGGGGAGCATGCGTGCACAACTAAGCCACCCCCAGCCCAAGTTTTCTAGTGACTCTCCTTGCCTCCATCCCTTGGGGCGTGGAGCCACAGCCGGAGCCAGCTCAACACCTACACGTAGGGTACAGGGCCACAGGTGTAGCAGGCAAAACTCTGAATACTTGTCACCGTATCTCTTTCCTATTCTTCAGTTCAAAACGGCCTATCTGGGTCAGCCTCGTCCCTGTCGTCCCTAGGGATAGCCAGAGCATCTCTTTTAGCATCTCTAGTGTTAGTTAGCCAAGCAGCTGGCAACACCCTCACAGGCATGAGATAACCCAGATAATGCTAAGAATTAAGTGACAGAAAAGGTTACCAGACCCTGGGACATTTGAGCAAGTGCATGAAGCACGGGGACAAAAAGTGACAGGCCCAGAGAACAGTCAAGCTGCGTGCTGGAGTAGGAGCCACGTAGACAAATGCCCCGCAAGGCTGAGGAGCAACACCTGAGGATGTAGCCTAGGATTAAATATGTGCCTATGGTTTGTTTTAATGTCATTCTTGCTGCGGCTAAGGATGTGAAAGACCGGGGGCGGGGGGGAGAGCGGGAGGTGATTGAGGCTGCTAGAAAGCTCTTAGGTTGCAAAGCGGAGCTGAGCCTCGCGGAGGTGCGGAGAGCCGCGGAGCTGTAACTGCTCCAGGATCTCAGGTGTGCGAAGTCCGCTGCCGTCCGCGCCACTCACGGAGGGGCACTATAGTTTGTCCCGTGACCTGGCAGCCCTCCACGCCGCAGCACCCCATGCCCACCCAAAGTCCCCGAAAAGTCCACTTCCCTGCCCGAAACTCCGTCCTGCGGGACCGGATCCTCCCACTGTACTACGTGCCCTGGGTCCTACGCGCCCTCGCCCTGGGGGTGTCGCCAGCCTCAGGCTCCGGGAAAAGGGCCCCATCAGCTCCAGCAGCGCGGTGAATCAGGACAACCGCCCAGAGTGGACCCAAGACGGAGGGGCAACAGAAAGTCCGCCAGCAGAGGCGCCCGCACTCCGGGCAACGGGATCCAGGCTCCGCAGGCCGCGTGGCCTCCCCCGTTTCCCCCAGACCTACCTAAACTCCCGTGGGAACCGTGCACCTGCTTAGGCTGCGCGGCTTCTACCTGTGCGCTTGGAAACCCCGCTGGGCGGGGCCCAAGAGAAGGCGGGGCTTCATGGAGGGGGGGCAGTGTGCGGGGGCGGGGCTCCCAAAGGAGCAACGACGAAATTCTTCGGGGCGGGACTTACGGGGGCGGGATTCCGGGAGCCCTAGGCCCCGCCCCACCAAGCTCTCCGTCCCGGGTAGCGTCTGCAGCGCTCCTCCCGATGCCCGTTGGGAGGCCCGCGCCACGCCCCTCCCCTGCCGGTGGATACTCAGACACTCAAGCTCCGGCCGCGAAGCATCCTTTACTTTCCCGGCTAGTCAAGTAGGCTGAGGAATGCTTCCTCCACCGAGCGGTACTGATGCAGCTGGATCTGAACCTCCACGGTCAGGGGCTCCGGCTGGTACCCGCTTTCGAAGGCTGGAGTCGCCATTTTTGACTTTTCTGAGAAAATAACAGTGCGAACAGATGAGCCCCAAGGGACATAGGGAATGCAGGTTTCCCCGACCCTGGACGTGCTCCTCCCTCATCCCGTGTTCTCCGACCTAAAGGAACTCAAATTCTGAAAGAGATCAGGCCTAGAATGTAAGCTGTAGTAAAGAGTAAGTTCAATTGCATCTATCAAGATCAGTGAATAAGGCTCAGCTGTTTCAGTTTTTAAATATATATATATATATACATATAATATATGTATATATTATATATATAGAGTGCTTTTTAAAAGCCGGCCAGCCTGACGACTTGAGTTCCATCCCCAGGACCCACTTGCAGGCCACAGTCAACGCACAAAATAAATACATAATGAAAAAAAAAGAAAAGGAAAGACCCTGAGGATGCAGCTCAGTTCGTGGAGAGCTTCGGTGGCCCTAGGTTTGCTCTCCAGCACTGGGTGAGAGAGAGAAAACGTGTGAGTATTTTGCAGGGTGTTTTTTTTGTTGTTGTTGTTGGTTTGGTTGTTTATTTTATTTTATTAAATATTTATTATGTATACAATATTCTGTCTGTGTGTCTGCCTGCAGGCCAGAAGAGGGCACCAGATCTTCTTACAGATGGTTGTGAGCCACCATGTGGTTGCTGGGAATTGAACTCAGGACCTTTGGAAGAACAGACAATGCTCTTAACCGCTGAGCCATCTCTCCAGCCCGGTTGTTTATTTTTTTACACAGGGTCTCATCTCACTTAGGTCTGGCTGTTCTGGAATTCTCTTTCTAGACCAGGTTGGCCTTGAACTCAGATCTGCCAGCCTCTGCCTCCTGAGTGCTGCCATTAAAGGCGCAGGTCACCACTGCCAGGCCTAGTTTGTTTATTGAGATAGTTTCATATAGCCTAGGCTTGCCTTAAACATGTAGCTGAGGATGATCTTAAACTCTCAGGCTTTTGCCTCTACCTCCCAGGTTGGCTTCACCATGCCTGACTTGAAGGGTTTTGTTTTTTTTTTTTTTTAAGATTTATATATATATATATAGTGTTCTGCCTCCATGTATGCCTGCAGACCAGAAGAGGGCTCCAGGTTTCCTTATAGATGGTTGTGAGCCACCATGTGGTTGCTGGAAATTGAACTCAGGACCTCTGGAAGAACAATCAGTGCTCTTAACCTCTGAGCCATCTCTCCAGCCCTTGAAGGGGTTTTTTTTTTTGTTGTTGTTTTTGTTTTTTGTTTTGTTTTTTTTAATCTTTTGCTATTTTTCAAGACAGCATTTTTCTGTAGCTTTGGAGCCTGTCCCGGAGCTCGCTCTGTAGACCAGGCTGGCCTCGAACTCACAGAGATCCGCCTGCCTCTGCCTCCCGAGTGCTGGGATTAAAGGTGTGCGCCACCACTGCTTGGTGAAGTTTTTCTATTAAAAGCACTGAATGAATGAATCTCTAAGTACTTTAATGGCACCCCACTAATTGTGAGTTCCAGGCTGATCAGGGTGAAAGAACCCTGTCTCAACAACAACAGCAAAAACTCTCAAATCTAACACAGACATCCTGAGTTCCAGGCCAGCCTGGGCTATCCAGGTAGGCAGAAGAAAGCGGGGACGGTTGGAGGGGGCGAAAGAAGGAAGCTAGAAAGCTCAGACGTAAGACAAACCTGGCTGAGAAATGCAGGGTGGGAAGGCAGGGCAGGGCTGGGCCAGGCCTCACCCACCCCGGCCTTTCCAGCACACACAGCCTGCAACTGCAGCCACGCTTCAGGATGATTCTGGGCTTGCTTCTGTGCTGGCTGGAAGCCATTCTCAGTCCCCTCATTCCTATGGTCCCATGGGCTCAATCCCCACCCTGCCCTCAGTGGCGGCTGCTGGCTCTTACCTTTTTTGGGAACTTTCTTTATCTTCTTTGAATCCTGAGAGAAAGAACCACAAAGCCGGGTGCTTGATGGGACCCATGCTGACCCGGAGGCTGACTCTGGGGTCACCCACCCCTCTCTGGGCCTTGGATTCATCCAGGAGCTTGGGGAGAATGGGCTGTCAAAGGTGCCCAGCAGCCCTGACATACAACCAGGGCCTCTCCACAGTGTCCCCACCCTCGACCTTACCCCATCCCTGCCTGAGCCAGCAAGCTGTCCATAAGGGAGAACGAGGGGAGGCAGAGACGGAAGGGCAAGACCAAGGGCCCCTTTGTACCCTGGCATGAGTCAATCTGTCAGATTCCATGGTGCGGATCACCCCAAAATTACACACAGTGGTCACCGCTGAGTCCCCTGCCAGCAAGGGCTCCAGGTACACCAGGCCGCTACCCAGCACGCGCAGCACGGGCGGGTCCTGGCGCAGCTCCTTGGGCGGCTCCTTTTTCTTCTTGAGCCCCTTTTTGTCCTGTGGGCAAGGCCAGGAGCACACAGGTGTGAGCAGGACTGGGCCGCACTCCCCTCCCTGCCCCAAGGTGACCCAAGCAGGCCTTACCTTTTCCTTGGCAGCCTCCTCTGCCTTCTGTTTCTTCCCTTTCTCTTTCTCTTTCTCTTTCTCTTTCTCCTTCTCTTTCTTGTCTCCTTTCCCTTTCTTGGCAGGCAAGGGACTCTCAACAGGAGTGGGCATCACAGGCCAGGATAGAATCTGGAGAACAAGACCCGATCTCGGGTGAACAGGGGAGGCTGACTCCTGAGACCCACCCTGCCTTGACCTTTCTGGAAAGGCTCTGAAAGGCGACCAAGGAGGGAACAGGAATATGACAATGTGATGAGAAAAAGGTCATTGGAAAGGATGCGGCCACAGAACATTCCAGTCAATGAGAGGCCTGCTCTGCCCACCTTCTCTTCTACAATGGTCACGGTGGTCCCTGCCAGCAGGAAGTTCTTGACCCGCACCAGCTCCTTGAGGGTGTGCTTCATCTCATAGTTACAAGGTATGACGTCAGTCCAGGGCTTTCGGACAGTGCTGAAGAGAACTGTCCTTGGGAACGAGAGACACGTGGGACTGTGTTGGCAACCTGGGGCAAGGCTGCCAAGGGACGCCCCAAAAGACAGCAAGCACCCACAAATGGTGAGAGACCAAGACCAGGGGAGTGCAAAGGACCCAGAAAACCAGGAAGAAACATTGGCAAAGGCTGAGCAGAGGTGCTCTTCTGGGCATGCTCAGTTTTGAACAACTTCTGGGCATGCTCAGTTTTGAACAACTTCTGGGCATGCTCAATGTGGAACGGTAGCTGTCCACCAGCTAGACTCTATGGTTTTTTTTTTTTTTTTTTTGGTTTTTGAAAGAAAGTTTCACTCTGTAATCCTGGCTGACCTGTAACTCACTAAATAGCTCATGCTGGTCTCAAATTTGAAGTTACCCCTCTGTCTCTACTTCCTAAATGCTGGAATTGTAGGTCTGTACCACTATGCTCGACTCCAAAATTTAAAAAACAAAACAAAAAAAAACAAAAAAAAACAGCCAAGTGGAAAAAACATCATAAACACAAGCCATTACAAAGCGATGCTTTAAGGCGATGCGAGGACTCTTGGAACTTGTAGTGGCGCGTGACAAACCAAAGGTGGCAAAGCTCGAATTCCGAAGAGCACACAGTGAAAGAGTTGAAAGGGACTCGGACAGGTATTCATAGGCCATTGTTCTTCGCAGCATCATTCCAAACGGCCAAGGGGAGGAAGTCAGCCATTCACCCCCAGCTGAACAGGTGAATGAGTGAAAGCGGGGAGTCTCTCCATCAGTGGAAGGCTACTCGGAAGAGAATTCTGACCCATGCTACAGCATACATTAACTTTGAAACTGCATCATGCTCAAAGAAATGATCCAGACGTGGAAAGGCAAACGCGGTGACTGTATGGAAGCCGGACCTGGACAGATCTGTAGTGAGAACGGAGGAGGCTGGGGTGGGGGTGGGGCGGGCAGCTGGGCAGGTGGTGCTGATGGCGAAGGAGCTTGGTCTCCCAATGATCCCTTGGCTCAGTCCCAGCGAATATAGTGTGGCTGAGCTGTATACTCAGGCAGGGTTAAAGGGAGTTATAATTGAAGAGTCCAGGGGTATAGAAATATAAAATGGTGCCGGGTAGCGGTGGAGCACGCCTTTAATCCCAGCACTCTGGAGGCAGAGGCAGGCGGATCTCTGTGAGTTCGAATACACTTGTCCTGGTCTACCAGAGCTAGTTCTAGGACTGGCTCCAAAGCTACAGAGAAACTCTGTCTCAACAAACAAAACAAAACAAAAAAAGAGCTATAAAATTGTAAGGCCAAACACATTTTGGAAGAAAAAAACTAAATCTGGCAGCCACTGTTAACCTTAGAACAAACATTTTCTTAAGACCATTCATTTCTTAAGCACCATCATCCTGGCAGCCACTGTGTACAGAGATAATATTTATTTATTTATTTTTGAGACAGGGTTTCTCTGTGTAGCCCTGGCTGTCCTGAAACTCGCTCTTATAGACCAGGATGGCCTCCTGTCTCTGCCTTCCGAGTGTTTGGCCAGAAGTAAACTCTGAACAATTGCCTCCTGCCTCCCAGCTTCCCAGCGAGGCAGGTCCTGCAGACAGAGTTAGCTTCTAACTGTTGCCTCTATGGGACCCTCATTTTTAACTGCCCCCCTCCCCGTGACTCTACTCTCTGTCTTGCAGGGACAGGAAAAGGTGGCTGTGTCAGCCATGGGCTTTCGCAAATATTCTAATGTCCTATAATCAAATGTTGTAAAACTTAAAATGTAAAGTGACTTTAAGCCTGACCTCAAGGTTGTAAATGTTCTTTGACCTCCATCTGGTGCTTGATTTTACTATAAGAGGAGGCCAAAACCAGCCCCATGGCCACAGCTATAGAAGCGTGTTTCTAGTTTAATAGACTTTGGTGGTTTGTTCCTTGTCATTGAGTGAACCTGAATCCAATAATGATCTTGCCGGGGTGGAGTTTCAGACCTCGTCAGCCTTGTAATTAGGCTTTTTTTTTTTTTGATGGGGGTGTTTTTGTTTTGTTTTGTTTTGTTTTTGAGACAGGGTTTCTCTGTAGCTTTGGAGCCTATCCTGGAACTAGCTCTTGTAGACCAGGTTGGCCTCAAACTCACAAAGATCCGTCTGCCTCTGCCTCCTGAATGCTGGGATTAAAGGTGTGCGCCACCACCGCCCGGCGTAATAGACATTTTGCTAGGGATAAAACTGTCAACTTTTGTCTGTCATGTGACTAAGTAAAAAGCACGGAGTAACACAAAGGTCTGAGCATGTGGCTCAAGTAGCAGAGTGCTCGCTCGCCTGTGTGCACAGAGCCCTGGGTCCACCATCTCCAGCATTGCACAAAACCAGATGTGGTGGCATACGCCTGTAATGCCAGCACTTAGGAGGCAGAGGCAGGCAGATTTCTGAATTTGAGGCCAGCCTGGTCTATAGAGTGAGTTCCAGGACAGGCAGGGCTACAACGAGAAACCCTGCCTTGAAAAACACACCAACCAACCAAGCAAACAAAAAACAAAACAAAAAAAACCCTTCCTTTCATCAAAGGACATATTAAGTGGCTAGAGAGTTGATCTATCAGAGGACCAGGGTTCAGAAGTTCAGCGCCCACAAAATGGGTGGCTCACAAATACTTGTAACTACAGCGCCAAGGGATGCAACTCCTCACTGGAACTTCTGTGAGCCGCAGAACCCGTGGTCACGTGTTTATGAGACAAGCACTTCACCAAGCTGTCTCCCCGACCGCACGCTTGGGCTTTGGGAGGCTGTCACCGTTCTCTGGTGGCTCTGAGGTCACTGGGTCTAGACTGCCTGCTCAGTGTGGGGTGTCAGGCAATGGGTGCCCATGTGACCAGATTCCAGTGAAAGCGCAGCCGCCGGGCTGAGGGAAGCTTCTCCAGCAGACATCATTTCTTTTTCAAGAATTGTCGCAGCATGTTGACCTACTGTGTGACCCTATCATGACTCTACTAAGACTGGACTCTTAGACGCTTAAAGCCTGTGCCTGATTTTCTCTGGACTCTCCCTCCCATGCCTCTTCATTCATTCATTCATTCATTCATTCATTCATTCAGAGATACCCATTACAAAGCCCAAGCAGACCTCAAGCTCACAATCCTCCTGCCTCAGCTTCCTAAACTGGGATAACAAACATGTACCACCATGTTCACTCTCTCTCTCTCTCTGTTTGTTTTTCAGACAAGGTTTCACTGTGTAGCCCTGGCTGTCCTGGAACTCGCTCTGTAGACCAGGCTGGCCTAGAACCCACATAGATCCGCCTGCCTCTGCCTCCCGAGTACTGGGATTAAAGGCATGCGCCACCACACCTGGCCACTCACCCTCTCTTATTAATTTTCCCCCAAGTAAAAAAGCATTGGTTTAATTCCTCAGTTTGAGCCCTGATGAAGCTCAGTGGTAGGGCAAACTGCAGGGCAGCACAGAATGCAGGAGGTCCCGTTGAGTCCTCAGCAGCAGACTCAGCTGGGACCCACCTCGGCTCCGGACACACAGTCAGATGACTGCATCCCTGCTTGGTTTTGGCCGTGGCAGCAGAACAGCTGTTTCCCCTGCTCTGTCATCACTGGGAGCCAAGGCCCAGGATCCCTGGATCTCAGCAAGTTTAGATCATACACTCAGCATGGTTTAAACTAACACCTAGGGGTGCAGCTCGGTCCTGGTGATTTTCTGCAGACACTGAGACTTGGGTTCCCTCTCGCCACCTCGAACAAACCCAACTCTTACAGCCCATGTTAAAAGAAGCTAACCTCTCACACCCCAGGACGACAAAGTGGCAAAGCCAATGAAGGGTTAAATGTGTGAATCAGGGCTCAGCCACACTGTGTTTAAATAGCCATATTATTTTCTGCATTCTTATGAAAGCCAGCAGAAAATTTATCATTCAATACATGCATGCAAAGACGTGTGTGTGTGTATGTGTGTGTGTGTGTGTGTGCGTGCGTGTGTGTGTGTGTGTGTGTGCCTGCCCTGTATGAAAACTGGGTTTACTAGGCAACAAAAACCTGGCTTGTAGGCCTGGTGAGGTCTGGGATTTGAGCTACTCAGGAGACCGAGTCAGAAGGATCACAAGTTTAAGGTTGGCCTAGAAAATTAGTGAGTCTTTGTATCCAAGCACAAAGTGAAAAAAAGATTGGGGTTCTGCCATAGAGAACTTGTCTAGTAATATGAGGCCATTGTTTCAACCTCCAGTACAGCAAACAAAACAAAGAACCGACGGCCTTGAACCCAGTGCCTTGCTGCATTTTATATGAACACATCCCATATGGACAGAAAAGCTAAAAGAAGAACTGGAGAGATGGCTCAGAGATTAGGAGCACTGGCTGCTGCTCTTGTAGAAGACCCCGGTTCAGTTCCCAGAACCCACGTGGCAGTTTACAACGAGCTATAACTCCAATTCCAGAGGGCCCTGTACCCTTCCGGACTCACATTTGCAGTACACTTTTGTACACAGAGGCAAAACATTCCTCCATAGAAAATAAACACACCTGGTTTTTTTTTTTAAAGGAAAGTTATAAGAACCCAGTTCCAATGGCTGAGATGGAAGCTGTCATGTGTCCTCTCTATGGACAGGAGAGTTAGTCTTTCCGAGAATTTTGCCGCCACCCCCAGGCATTGGGGGGGGCCTCAGAGTGGAAGGTTAGGGCTCCAGAAAAGAAAGGTCCGTGGCTAAGTGCGCAGCCTAGGGCCAGCTGATAAGAAGGCATGGCCTTAGGAGTTCAGATGCCCAAGGCAAGCTGCAAGTACAGCCCTGGCTTGTGGCAACCACGGATGCTCCGCCCACCCACAGCCGCCTTCTACCCTTACCCTGGGGACGGACAGAGCCGTGGGTCTATGCGTGGCCGTAGCTTTGACAGCTCTTCCGATGAGTCAACTGACTGTGGTAGTGGGGCAGAGCGGATGGAAATGGTTGTCTCCGACTCCATATCTGTTATCCCAGACTCTCCGGAGTCCTCGGCCATCTGATTCATCTCCTCAGCTATAAACTCAGACAACTCCTTGGACATGACCTCAGGAGACTCTGAGCGAATCCTCTGACGGCGGACCTGTCGAGCTGGCCGGGTCTGGCGCTGGACCCCATGGTGGTCCTCCAGCAGAACCTCTTGCTGGTCCTCGCCACCCTCCTCATCTAACTGCTCCACGCTGGAGGAGGGCTCGACCATCTGCCATCAAAGACAAACACGCCCCCGGGCTGTTATCCCAGTGAGTGCTGGTTGGCGCAGGCAAACGTCTGTCTCTGTGAATGTGGTGCTGGAGAGGGATCGCAAGGTCACGTGCAGGCCAGGCAGGTGGTTTACAACTCAGCCACTCAACCTGCCTGGGGAAGGGGATATCAGGCAGGAACCAGCCCCCCAATAGATGAGGCATAACTATGTGCTGAAGATTTTTTTTGGGGGGGGGACTAAAAAGCGGTTCTGTGTGCACACAAAAGCCCGCAGGCCTGTGTGAAGTCCGCTCTGCTCCCTAGCACGGTCGCACCTCAGCCAGGGCACTGTCGGGATGGGTCTCTGCCATCGTGCTGGCGAGCACATTCCTTTCGCCATCCTCGTCTTCCACAAAGTCGTAGGTCACATAATAGCTGTAGCTGATGAAAGGGCCTTCAGGTCCCGGCTCTGGGTCCAAGACAGAGCTGTCAATAACACCCCTGACATTGCCAATGGTCACCAGAAACTGTGCCTCACGTGCCAACAGGTCTGCAAGGAGTGATGGCAGGACTGAGAGACTGGGCTGGAGGAGGGAAAGCTGACCTGCCCACCCACAGAGTTAGAGTCCCGGCTCTGCCGAGTTCAGCGGGAGGGAGCCGGGGATAAGCCATTAGATAACTATGAAGTCTTGTTTTCCTGTTTGCCAAATGCGGGTGCCGAGAGGCGCGTGGCAGAGACAGTTCTGAGGAAGGGAGAGGTGGAGACCATCAGTTAGCTACCTCAGCTGTGACAGTAGCCGCTAAGGCCAGAATCCCACCACTGGACCAGCAAAGGTTCTGGTGCATCTTATATCAGGGACCACAAGGGGGTGGTGTCGAGCTGCCATAGAAACAAGATCCAGAAAGACCAGCCGCCACCCCACGTCCCAACCACAGGGGTCCCACACAGAGAAAGCCCCCAAAGTACTTAGTGGACCTGACCAGGGCCAGGGGCAAATGGAGAGCTGCTGGCCAGCTTCCAGGACCAAGGTGGGCCAAGCAGAAGCCTGGGTGTGTGATACACCTACCACCATGAATGCTGAGCCCCCGGAACTGGTGCTTCTCGCTGGGAGACACGGTGATGTCATCCAGCACACAGAGGCGTGCCAGGCTGTCCACGATAAAGCCACGGTAGTAAGGAACCAGGGCCAGTGGGTTTCCCTGCAGCACTAGCAGCCTCAGGTGCTTCAAGGTGCTGAGACCCGCTATCATGCTCTGCAAGTCCGTCAGCTCGTTGAAGCTCAGGTCCAGGGAGACGAGCTGGGGCCTGGAAGGTTGGCCAAGATGCCGCTTAGGAAGCTCAGGGAGCAGAGGCTCAGTGCTCTGGGCCACACACCTTGTTCCGTCCTGGACCCATCAGCTCCTGAGCCGTCTCCTTTCTCTCCAGAACACAGCCTGTGTTCACGGACTCTCTCTCACAGCCCTCCCCACCTGGCTTCCACCTGCACCTCCCTCTCTGCCAAAGAACAACCCCCTGCTGTGCCTCTAGAAGGTTCTTCACAAATTCCCACTGATAGGCATGCTGGAAACCACTGCAGGAGGGTGGACCAGGGAGTCTGGTGGGTGTGGGGACCGGGAAGGGTCACCAGGCTGTGGCTGGAAATCTCTCCTCAAAGCCACAATGGCCATGGCCACAGAGAGCTCGCCAGCACATCCTCTAGGACACAGGAGGGAAGAATGAATGTGCTAGCACGAGCAAATGAGACTGGCGGGCGAAGACGAAGCCCAGGCCTCCAGGAGAGACCAAGACACAGGAGCAGCAGAGCTCCGCCCATGCCACAAACCACAGAACTGGCTGATGCCAAGGCCGAAGAAGCAGCAGGGAATAATGTTGCCACACCAACTGTCGTGGTCACCCAGAGCCTTTCCCACAGCCTGGACCCAGCCTCCTCACTCTCCTCTGTCCTCCTCTTCCCAGGGTCTGTTCTGCTATGCTGGTCACTAGCCAGACCCTGGAAAGGGACAAAAGGACAATGCAGGGGGTCATCACAGGCCTTGCACAATGTCGTCCTTCCTGGGGATAAATGGTTCCCAGGGCAGATCCTTCCACTTGACTTCCTTTCTCTCTTTCCTTCCTTCTTTCTTTCTTTCTTTCTTTCTTTCTTTCTCTCTTTTTATTTGTTTTTCAAGACAGGGTTTCTCTGTGTAGCTTTGGAGCCTGTCCTGGAACTCGCTCTGTAGACCAGGGTGTCCTCAAACTCACAGAGATCTCCCAGCCTCTGCCTCCCAAGGCCCTCTGCCTCCCAAGTGCTAGGATTAAAGGTGTGCGCCAGCTTCCCAAGTGCTGGGATTAAAGGCATGCGCCACAACTGCCCGACTGATTCTCTCTTTTAATTAACAGCAAATGATGAGTTTCAATCAAGTTTTTTTTTTAAAAATCCCGAACTGGCATTAAGCCCAAGATTATGCTATATTCTAACTAATTAAACTATAATTTAATTGACCCAAAAAAAGGATTATGCTATATTTTGAAAAAAAGCCAGATACTTGCTCTCAGTCAGTGACATGAACCTACACTGGCTGTCCCAAGAAGATCAAGTGTGCTGTTTCCTGTGTGTGTTGTTTGCCGAAGCCAGGGAACAATGGAAGGAAGGCGTCCCAGTGAACAGAAGACATGCAGATCGGGTGAGACTAGCAGAGAGGAGGAGGCCTGAGGTGGGCCAGAGAGGGCCTTCCCTTTCCACGGCACCTTCTGCCTCCAAGAGAAAATGGTTGAACCTCCACTGGGGTGGGAGCTAAGGAGGGGGAGCAGGCATTCTACCACATCTTCAGCTACACATTGAGCTTGAGGCAAGCCTGAGCTACATTAGATCCTGCTGTCTTCAAAAGAAATGGGGTGAGGGCCGGGCAGTGGTGGCTCACACCTTTAATCCCAGCACTCGGGAGGCAGAGGCAGGTGGATCTCTATGAGTTCAAGGCCTGCCTGGTCTACAGAGTGAGTTCCAGAACAGCTAGGACTATTATGCAGAGAAACCCTGTCTCAGAAACCATAAAAAAGGGGAGAGGAGGGAAGGGGGAGGGCGGTCTTCTCCCAGGGGCCATCCTCCTACCCCAGCTCCCTGTGACAGCCTTATAGATGACCTCCTATCTCTTCATGCTTCTCACATCCCAAAGTTTTCCTCTGTGAATCCACCAAGGAGACACAAACTAGGGGTGGGAGGATGCCCTGCATAAGGGCTAACGGATGCTGGGCGATAGTGGGGCTCCCAAGAGCTGTCTCTAGACAGTGGTTCTCAGCCTGGGATGGTTTGCCCTCAGAAGACTGGCTTCTGCCTGGAGATATTTTTGATTATCACAAGGAAGGGCAGAGAGAGGCAGATGTTACAAGTACCCAGCCCCTAGAGTGTTGCTAAATGTCCCCACTACAGAAGGCATGGCCAGCTGAAATGCCACGGAGCTAAGCTGAGGACCCCTGCCGTCCACCCACCCCCACCAGCCGCTGGCATCCTTGGCCTCCCTGGAGCTCCAGTGGGGTATTGTGACCGAGTGAGAATAAAATCCTAGTGTGCGTTTAGTAGCCATGGAGAAGTCACAGGACGAGCAAAGCCGAGTCCTCCAGGGCCGAGTCACCCCCCACCTCTTTCTTAACGCCTCTCCCTCCTTTCATCCAGGCCCCCAAGTTACCAGTTTCTGGAGGTGACATACAGACTCTCCAAAGGGCCCTGCAGTTTGTTGTGGCCTAGCCCCAAGTGCTGCAGGTTCGGGGGTGCAGGTGAGCACAGACACTCCATGCTGGTGATCAAGTTGCCATAGAGCTCCAGCACCTGAGAAAGAAGAGCACCCACTATGATGGGGGGCGGTCTCACCCCACAAGCTCCTACTCCTACCTCAGGAAACTCAGAAGGGAGTTTGGGTTGCCAACTTGCTTTTAAAAATACAGTCATGGTGCACGCCTTTAACCCCAGCACTCAGGTGTTCAAGACCAGCCTGGTCTACAGAGAGTTCTAGGACAGGCTCCAAAGCTACACAGAGAAACCCTGTCTTGAAAACCTCCCTCACACATAAAAAAAGAGAGAGAGAGAGAGAGAGAGAGAGAGAGAAAAAGAAAAGAAAAAGAAAGAAAAAGTCAAGGCTGGCATAGCTCGGCTGGTAGAGCTCTTACCTAGCTTGCGCAGGACCTAGAGTGCCATCTCTAACTCTGAATGAATACCCCAGAGTGACGGCATGCTCCTGGAATCCCAGTTTTTGAGAAGTGGAGGCAGGAGGATAAAGAGTTCAAGACTGCCAAGCAGTGCCAGTGGTGGTGGTGGCTCACGCCTTTAATCCTGGCACTTGGGAGGCAGAAGCAGGTAGACTCTGTGAGTTCAAGGCCAACCTGGTTTACAGAGTGAGTTTGAGTACACACTGAGCTTGAGGCAAGCCTGGGCTACATTAGATCCTACTGTCTTCAAAATAAAAGGGGTGAGGGCCCGGGCAGTTGTGGCTCACACCTTTAATCCCAGCACTTGGGAGGCAGAGGCAGGTGGATCTCTGTGAGTTCGAGGCCAGCCTGATCTACAAGAGCTAGTTCCAGGACAGGCTCCAAAGCTACAGAGAAACCCTGTCTCAAAAAAAAACAAAAAAAAAAAACAAAAAAAAAAAAACTCTGGTTGCTCTTCCAGAGGACCTGGGACCCACATGGCAGCACGCAACTAACTGTCTGTAACTGCTGTAACTTTTGTGTGGCAACCTCACCCAGACATACCCGCAGGCAAAACACCAATGCACATAAAAATACAAATAAATAAATTATTAAGGGGCTGGAGAGATGGCTCAGTGGTTAAGAGCATTGCTTGCTCTTCCAAAGGTCCTGAGTTCAATTCCCAGCAACCACATGAGGTCTGGTGCCCTCTTCTGGCCTGCAGACATACACACAGACAGAATATTGCATACATAATAAATAAATAAATAAATATTAAAAAAAATTATTAAAAAAGATCTTTCTCTCTTTCTCCTTAAGATCCGGTTTCTTCCATTGAGTGTGATGTTTTCTAGGTGACTATCAATGTCCTTCTTTTTTTACAAGTGAGCAAGATTCCATTGCATGGAGAGACCATGTTTTGCCCCTCTGTTCATCTGACCACAGGTTCGTCTGCTGTGAACTGCAGGGCTAGTAACCAGAGCCTCCCTGGGTCCTTCCTCCCATTCTTGTAGTCTGCACTGCGGAAGAGAGGAGTCCAAAGGATTATGTAACTTTATAAGGAACACGGCCTATGTTTTAGAAGCCTGGGGCTGGGTCCCGTGCACAGCCACCCTAGCCAGAGTTGTGGGGGACAGGTGAGGGCAGGACCTCTGGAGCTGCTGACTCTCAGGCCCCATACAGAACCTGTACCTTCAATGTTGGGGGCAGATTGTTAGCATCGATTTCCTCAATTTTGTTGGCGCTCAGAACCAGCTCCTCCAGTTTTAGAAATTTCAAGAGATCTTTGTCCACCAGACTCACCTGGAAGGGATGGAAGGGAAACTGAGGACCCTGGCGAGCCAGGTCACACTGGAGCATGTATGTTCACATGAGGAAGTAACAGCCGTGTTAGCCTGTTCTGCTGCTGTGACAAAATGTCACGACAAAGCCACCCTGTTTACTCTGGCTTATGGCTCCAGAGGGTTAGGTGTCTATAGTGGAGGGGAAGGCAAGGCACGGCAGCAGCGGCACAAAGCTGAGCGCTCACACTCTAACCACACACAGGAAGCAGGGAGGACAGGAAGTGGGGTGAAGCTACAGCCCCTCAAAGCCTCAGTGATGGGCTTCCTCCAGCAAGGCTTCACCTCCCAAAGGTTCCACTACACCCCCAAAGAACTGGGGAAGAAGTGTATAGATATCTAAGTCTGTGTGTGTGTGTCGGGGGTGAGGGCATCTCTCAGTCAAATCTCCGCAGCTGCTCATTCCCAGGACTATCACCTTCCCACCCGCACGGCATGGTTCTGAGGGTTTAAGGGCCCAGCTCCAACCCTAGAAGCAGGCTTTTGATCTCTATGCCAGTGTCCTAAGTCCTTGCTATGTTGGATCACAGGACTCCTGGGAAAACAAGAATCCTCCTGTCTACGTCTACCACAGCCCAAGGAACTTCCACTGTTAGGGACCAGCCCTCGGGGCAATTCCTTTCCGCCGCAAGCTGCCATTTAGCCGTTCTTTAGGCCAAGCAAGCCATCCTTCCCCTGGCGGACAGTGTCTCCTGAGACCAGCAGAGGTCCTGGAACACACATTAAACACTCGTTGGCATGGTCTGTTTTGCCTGCACCCTGTTGCCTGAGCCTTGTAGTCAACTCTACTTCAGCTCTAGGTGGTACTGAGAACTCAGGCTTGCAGAGGTCCCTCTGTGAACTCAGAACCAAACAAAGCGGGATGTTGGTTAATGGAAGACTAGAAGGATGCGGGGAGGTATGGCTAGGGAGGGGAGTGTTTGTATCCATCACTTGCACAAGCCACGCAATGAGCACATGATACTCATCAACATGAACTTCAGTGAGCCATTCTTAGGGTTGTTGGCATTTCCTGAGAAATTTTACCTCTTCCCAAGAAAAGCATATAGCAGTTGGCTGGCCTGGTCTTCCAGAATCACTGTGGGTTAGACGGAGCAGGGTCTACCAGTGGCTTCATCACTCTACCCACGAATCCTGGTTTCCTGGGGCCTCCAGGTCATCAGAAGCCCTTCCAGACTGAGCTTCCCTTTCCTACAGTGACCAAGTCTACTAGTGTGCCCAGGATTGGGAGGTTTCCAACCCTCAGAAAGTCCCAGACAAAATGCTATGGGTGGGTCACAGGGGAAGGAAGGAGAGACCCAGGGAGGCTGGGGGTCGTTGTCATGACTATGCCTTATTAATATGACAGCTTTCCAAAAACAGGTCTGCTTGTTGTTAGCCAACCCTCTCCAGGTCCTCTCTTCCACCTTAAAGAAAAACATCATGGTCCCTTAAAGGTCTTTACCAGGAGGATTCACTGCAGAGCGTGCAAGAGTCAGCCAAAGACATACAGGACTGAGCTTCTCCAGGGTTAGAGACAGGGAGAGAGCTACACAACCAAGGTCACGGAGGCCCTCCTGTCACCTAAGGAGAGGTCTAAAAGACCGGGTCCCCCAGAACCAACTCCCGAGGCTGCCCCCTCCCTTCCTGTCCGTATGCCCAGCACTCACCCCCTTGTCCACCACCCGCAGGGACCGAAAGTAGGAGTAGAAGAAAGTGTCTTTGATCATCAGCGGATGCTGGATGGCCAGCTCTCTCAGGAAATGGTCCTCAGCGCTGGAGCCCTTCATCAAGGCCCACGGAGAATGCTTGCTGCGGACCAGACCCAGCAGGGCCTCCACAGTCTCCTCGCCAGCACTCACAGTCTCCTCCTCCTTGGGGACCAAGTCCCTCCAGGCTCGCCATGTTTGAGGAAGAAAGCGTGACTTATTCTGCAGAGGTAGAGAGGGAAGCCTTCTCACACTGACGTATGTTTACCGCGTTCACCATAGCAAGTGCGTGTGGGGCTCTGTGTCAGTCAGGGCTCTCCACAGGAACAGAACTTACAGAAGGTGAGACCACACATACATGCAAGATTAAAGGGAATTTATTAAAATGGCCCACAATTAAAAAGGCCCACAGGCTGTGGCCCAGCCAGTTCAACAATGGGGCTTTCTACCAATAGAAGGTCCAAGAATCCAGTAATGGTTCAGTGCCCAAGGCTGGATGTCTCAGCTCATCTTCGGTATACGCCAGAATCCCCAAGAAGCAGGCTCTAATGCCAGTGAAGAAATGGACTTGCCAGAGAGAGCAAGCAGGCAAAGAGAGCAAGCTTCCTTCTTCCATGTCCTTTTTACAGGCTACCAGCAGAAGGTAGCCTGTAAAAAGGCTACCTTCACATTTATCCCATCCACATTTATCCCAGATAAATGTGGATCTTCCCACCTCAAAAGATCCAGATTAAGAGTGGGTCTTTTTGCCAGGCAGTGATGGCACACACCTTTAAACCAGCACTTGGGAGGCAGAGGCATGCAGATCTCTTGAGTTCAAGGCCAGCCTGGTCTACAAAGAGAGTTCCAGAACAGCCAGGGCTACACAGAGAAACCCTGTCTCCATAAAACAAAAAACAAAAACAAAAAGTCGGTCTTCTCACTTCAGATGATTTATTTAAGAAAAAAACAACTAACAGATATACCCAACTATTTGGATTTTAGTCAATTCTGGGTGTAATCCAGAATAGCCATCACCAGGCCTTTGATCCCAGCACTTGGGAGGCAGAGGCAGGCGGATCTCTGTGAGTCTGCAAAGCAAGTTCCAGGACAGCCAGGACTGTTACACAGAGAAACCCTGTCTTGAAAAGACAAAATAAAGAGACTAGCCACCCCGGGCTCAGAGAACAATTTGCAGGAATTGCTTGTCTCATAACACCATGTGGTTCCCAGGGGTCAAACGCAGATCATCAGGGTTGTCAGGAAGAACTTTCTGCCCTGAGCCATCAGAGGGGTCCTGGTGATCTGAGGTAGGGTCTTGTGCAGATCAGGCTGGCTTTGAACTCACTGCATAGCTGACAGTTACTTGAACCCCTTGATCCTCCTGCTCCCATCTCCCAAATTGAGGGACCATAGGCACACACACCCCCACACTAGTGATGGGCGGCCAGGAAACAAAAGAGCTGCCTCTGCTTACACACTAGATGTGATGAAATTAGGAACTCTCGAGAAGAGTCTCTACCAACTGAACTACATGCCTGGCACAAGATAATTATTTATGGGGGCAGAGCTTTACTGTGTAGCCAGATGGGCCTTGAACGCTCAGTCCTCCTGCCTCAGCCTCCCAAGTGCTGAGATTCCCAGTGTGTGCCACCACACATAGAAGACACAGAATATTAAAGACCAAGTTCCTGTTTTCACTTCATTCTGGAGTTGGGAACTTTGAACATGCAAAACAGAATAGCTTTGGGGGCTGCAGAAGTGGCTCAGTCAGTAGTTATGAGCACTTGACACTCTTCTAGAAGACCCAAGTTCAATTCCCAGCACCCAAGTCAGGCAGCTCAAAAGTGCCTGCAACTCCAGCTTCAGGAGATCCAGTGTACTCTTCCAGCCTGAGATCACTTGCCCCAGCATGCGCACACACACACACACACACATACACACACACACACACAGAGAGACACACAATTAAAAAGAACGCAATAAATAAATAGAATGAAAGGAGAGTTTAGTTTGACAGGCGCAGGAGGCTGGGTAGGCAACCTGGGAAATCGGGAAACCGCAGCGGGAAGGCTTTCTAGGGGTGGGGGCAAGGGAAAGGTGAAACCTGAGTCTTGGTGAGTAAAACATGAGTGTGCTCCTCAGAATCTGCCCCTCCAGGCAATGGTTGAAATACGCCTCTTCGGATTTTCTGGGCTTGTTTGATTTTGTTTGGTTTGGAACTGGGGGTGGGACTAAAGGCCCCACCCCGGACAAACAGGGAAAACACTTATCCCCATGCCTACCCCTAGATCCATCTTTGAAGTTCCAAAGCTTAGGACGGTGCCCAGCACAGGTTAGCCGTCAGCCTGATTTCTTGACTAAACAAACGCAGTGTGTCCCTGACTGGTGGCTGCTTCCTTCTACAAGGGGAAGGCCAGTTTGACTGTTTAACTTCCGGTAGAGTGTGTGGGGAGGCCCAGGTGACAGCCCAGACTGTCAGAACACATTTTCAGGGACCTCTAAGTCTAACCAGGCTGCTCATCCCGACCCGTGGACCCAGCTGATGACAAGGGTCCCCCTGCATACTGAGAAGGATGAACGCACAAGGTGGAGTGACCGGAAGAGGATCTTCCTGCACTGTTGGACGGAATTTTTTTTTCCGGCTGAGCTTGACCATGCCCTTGGCTGTATTTCCCTCAGTCTCTCCTCAGCCCGGAAAGAGGGCAGAGGTCACACAGCGCCCAAAGCTTCCCAAGTCCAGCAGTTACAGAAGGGAAGCAGGCAGGGATGGAGGGGCAGAAGACCCTGCCCAAAAGGAGAAAGCTAGGCCCGTAGCCCCAGAGCACAGGGGAATCATTTTCTCCACATTCACGAGCGGCTATAGAGTGTTCAAGACCAAAGCTCTTCCCTCAGGGATCTCTTCCCTCTCGCCTCTGCAGCCTGGGCTACATGAGATCAAAGGTCAGCTTGATGTGCTGGTCAGTCCATTCTGGGCCCGTCCCCACATGGCAAGGGGGGGAACTTGGTCCCTGAACTCCTTCAATGTTCCAGATCGCACTGTTTACACCAACTCTCAAATCAGCCAACACCACATCCAAACCTCCCAGCCGGCCTCAAACTTGTACCTGAGTATCTCCTGACCACTAGGGCAGCCAGTTCCCAGCTAGGTACCACCTACTTCGGTTTACTCCATGCAGCCACTCTGGCCCAGTCCCAGGTCCACCCCTGCTGGATCCTTCCCTCCCTCACCCCCATCCCCGGCGTGGGGAGTACGCACCCAGCTCCCGGTGCCACATGGGAATTCACGCAGACACAGCTTCCGCAAATGCTCACGCACAGCGGTGCTCAAGGTCCCAGGTATGCCCTCGGTCATTCTGTAGCTCGCGCTGGAGTCGCTGGTCGCCATGCTGCGAGAAACAGGCTCGTTGCTACGCAACCGCTAGACGCGTTACCCTGGGTGCGAAGAGCAGGTGGAAGCCAAACTTCCCAGTATTAAAGACCCCAGCTAAATTTCTACCAGGCTGGCTGCAGCACCTTGCAACAGCAGGTAGTGGGTGTCTCTCAGGGGATTCTTTCCCTCCTTCCAAAGGTTATTATCTGTGGAGAGTGCTGACTGTTGTCTCCCCACTAGGCAGATTGGAGTTTCAAAGAGAAAAAAATTAGTCCGAGGTTAAACATTTTAGGACTCTAATTAGGGTATCCCAGTGTAGTTCTATGTATCCGCGAATCGCTGAGCACCAGACCCGTTTTAGACTCATCCAGTCTTCTCTTGTCAGGCCCGTAAGCACCTCCACGTGGTAGGAGCTCTCCGCCTGTGGTCTCTGCAACGGGATGAGATGACTGAGTAGGGGACGCAGCATCTTTGTGGAAGTGTGATCTAAGTACCATACACTCCAAGTGCACAATTCTGTGAATTTTGGTGGTATTCAGAGTACACCACTGTGATCTCATCATTTCCCATCAAGTTACAAACCAGTGAAGCAAATGGCCGTTCTACCACCTGCTCTGCCAATGGCAAAGAGTACCTCGCATTGGGTATCTGTGCATTTCTTGGCTTCTTCCAAAGGTGGAGTCATAGGCAAGATTTGTTTTTTAATATCTTTTTGCTTTATTTGTGATGTTTTCAAGACTCACTCATGGAGCCCAGGCTGGTTTCAAACTCGCTGGGTAGCGGAGAAGAACCCTAAGCCTGAACCCCACCTCCTGAGTTCTGGGGCTACAAGCATGTGCCTGGCTCACCCCTGCTTTATTGTGTGCTTTATTATCTACCAGGCTTCATTATGGTCTTTTTAAAGTTTAGCTTGCGTGTGACATTTTGCCTGCATATAAGTTTGTGTACCACGAGCAAGCCTGGCGTCCGCAGAGCCAGGAGAGGGTATTGGATCCCCCAGGACTGCAGTCACAGACCGTGCGAGCTGCTACGTCAGCCCTGGGAGCTGAACTGGGGTCCTCTGGAAGAGCAGCCTGTGCTCATTACTGTAGAGCACTCTCTCCTCTCCCCCAGCTGGTAGCTTTAAGTTTCAACTAAAAGCAAGTAACAAGGAACTAAAGGAACTATCTGGAGAGCTTACTTAGATTTCCCCTCGGCTTCAGGATGTGGTCAGTCCTGGCTAGTCCAGCGACCCTAAGAGTCGTGACAGAAGTGCCACATTGGAGACTCCCCTGCTGTCCCCAACCCCATTTTTCCCGTCCCTCTGTCTTCCTTCTCTGCGTCTCATGACTGTGCAGTCTGCTCTCACTTTTTCCTCAATGCCACAGTTACACTTCCGCCCCAGTGATTTAATCAACGCTTCCTTGCCAGATTCCTGTGACCTCAAGTGCACAAACCCACAGACTCTCCAGGTTTATCTTCTGACCTTTCCATGGCTTATGAAGTCAGCCATTTCCTCTGACTTCAAAACCACTCCTTAGCCTGTTCCATGACAGCTTCCTTCTTTCCTTTTTGGGTGTGCCTTCTTGGACTGTACACCAAGTCATTTTTTTTTCCTGCTGCTGATGGCTCAGGTCCCAAGACTCTACAAAGGACTGTCCCTTCTTATGGTGGTCATCCGCTATTAGCTTACAGTTGTGTCAGCTATAATATACCGATGGCCTCCAAATGGGCATTTCCAGTTCCCTCCTTTATGTTGCGAATCCAAGCCCAGTCCTGCTAACCATCTCTAGCTGTGTTTTTTGTTTGTTTGCTGGTTTTGTTTTTTGAGACAGGGTTTCTCTGTAGCTTTGGAGCCTGTCCTGAAACATGTTCTATAGACCAGGCTGGCCTCAAACTCACAGAGATCCTCCTGCCTCCCGAGTGCTGGCATTAAAGGCGTGCACCACCATCGACCAGTGTCTAGCTGTGTTCTACGTGTTCCTTCACCTCACAGTGTCAGGATGGACCTAGTTACTTTTCTCAAGCCCCAGATGCTCTCTTCTCTCCTCGTTCTTCGGCTTCACTGCCATGTGTCCGTTTGCCTTGCCAGAAGCCTACAAGTTGCCCTCACTTTCCTCCTATTCCTCCGTCTCCACAGCCGGCCATTTTTCCTGAGCTTCACTCTTCTACAGTTTTCCAGTCCACATCTCTCCACATCCACCTGCGGCATTACCCTGGCTCCTCTGTGAATATGCGCTGTTGGAGATCCAGTCAGGGTATTGGGGTCACTAAGGGGTGTAGAATATAGGTCAAAGATGGAAACCTAGGAGATATGTCCACGAAGAAAAGAGCCAAGCAGGCAGGTGCTTAGCCTAGAGCCCTGCGAAGGCACAGTCAGGACAGAGTCTGTTGTTCAGAAGGAGGAGAGGAAGGTTTGGAAGGCAGCTGTGTTTACCACTACTCTGCCAGGTTGGCTTTTGTTTGTTTTGTTTTTTGGAGACCATCGGTCTCATGTGTAGCTCTGGCTGAACTGGAACTCACTCTGTAGACCAGGCTGGTCTCACACAGACTTCTGTCTGCTTCTGTCTCCCGAGTGCTGGAATTAAAGGTGTGTGTACCCATGCCTGGCTCAGACTGTATTTTATTATTTTATGTATTAATGTTGTATGGGGGGGCCCATGTGGAAGTCAGAGGACAGCTTTGGGTCCTCACTTTCCACCTGTGTTAGGCAGGATCTCTTTATTGTCCACAGAGGCATACACCAGGCTAGCTGGTCTACAGGCTTCAGGGATCCTCTCGTTTCCCCCTTCTGGCTCTCAGTAGGAAAGCTAGAATTATGGACACGTAATATTGTGCCCAGCTTTACGTGGACTCCGAGGATTTATTCTTGTGTCGGGAGAGCAATTGCTTACCCACTGGGACATCTCTTGTTTTCTGTTTTTATGGACAGAGTTTCTCTGGATAACAGCTCTGACTGTCCTAGAACTCACGCTGTAGACCAGGTGGGCCTTGAACTCACAGAGATCCTCCTGCCTCTGCCTCCAGAGTGCTGGGGTTAAAGATTTGCACCACCACTGCCTGGCCCAACATGAAATTTTAAGAAAACTATAGCTCTCTTGAGAAAGCTTATTTCGCCTTCCCAAGGACCTGAATCCAGTCTCCACAAAAAAGGTGAAATGATTGGCATTGTGGCGTAACAATGGTCAGAATTCTGGCAGATCATGGAGGGGCCATGAACAGACAGCGGAAAAGAAGCAGTGAGGCGACAACATGAGGTCACTGGGACTGCACTGTGACTCTCTTGATAACCGTAAATTTGCTGTATGGACAGTGGGAAATTCCTAGAATCCCAGCTCTAGGGAGGTGGAGGCAGGAGGATCACCAGTATGGGTTACATAGTGAGACTCCCTTCTCATAAAACAATTGCTGCACAAGACTGGGCCTGTTGACAGAGTGTCGTGGAGGGACGGAGGGCTCATGGCCCCCACCCCTCCCTGAGGATTTACGTAAGTTCAGGGATTGAGGCATTTTCCTCAGTGGTGTAGCCGCCCATAAGGTGCTCGTTCAGTTGCAAACAATTTTCCCTGTTCCTATAAGAAACCCTATGAAGTTATCAGGTCATTTAAACAGGCAAGATATTTAGAAGGGAACACTAGCTGGTGGGAGAAAGGGGAACAGAGGAAGAGGAAGGGAGATAAAATGGCAGCCAAGCGCATGCGTGTATATGTGTGTGTGTGTGTGTGTGTGTGAATATGATCAAAATACATTACATACATACATGAAACTGTCATAGTGAAACCCATTATTATGTAAAATTAACATATACTAATAAAAACAGTCTGAGTTCTTGGAAGATGAGGCAGGAGGATTATTGTAAGTTCAAAGCCTGGGCCACACAGTGAGTTTCAGGTTAGCTGGGGCTACAAAGTGACACCCTTATCTGAAAAACAAAGTCAACGAAAATCCAGCCTGCCACCGGCAGGTCTTCTGGTCGGTTTCTAACAGACCCAGGAGGAAGCTATAGACTGGAGCTCCTGTTCTCATCCGGGGCTCCAGGTCTTGTACCAAGCTCACACCTTTATTTAAGTCAAATTTGTTTGCTTTCGTACATTTCATTGAGGTACCTCTATCCTAAGCCAACAATGGCATCTCTGCCTTTCTCTCTGTCCTAATTTTGTGTGGGTTCTGCTTGCCATACTGTATTTGTTCTTTGAGACAGGGTCTCATAGACCCAGGCGGGCCTCCAGCTGGCTACATAGGAAAGAGGACCTTGACCTTCTGGTCCTCCTGTCTTCTCTCCACCTCTCAAGTTCTGAGAGGGTGAGTGTGCACCATCTTGCCTTCCTTCCTCCAGTTTTGGTGGCCGCTTGGATGGATCCACAGAGCCTCAGAAGGTAGGCAAGCCCTGTACCGTGGTGCTACATTTTGTCCTTAGGGCTCACGTGACTGGGCTAAACCAATCGAAGTAGCCAGATAATTTCTGCATCTTCAAGTAACCTGATTACTAAACCCGATCTCCTCTCCAGGGACCCTTTTGCCACAAAATGTAACATGGCGGGCATAGACAACAGCGGTCCCAGGACTGCATACTGCTGCCTTTACCATAAGAGTAAATAAAGTTGTGATTTGGAAAGTGAGGCAAAGAGCAAGGACTAACCACTCTGTGGAGAGGCATGGTCGAGGAAGAGTCAGGGTGTATGCATGTAGTCCCAGGACCCAAGAGGCAGGAGGATCCCTGTGAGTCTGAGGCTAGCCTTAGTTATGAGGTAAATTCCAAAACAGGCTAGGCTAAGAGTGAAACACTTCCAAGAAGCACGGGGGAGAAAATGGAAAAGAGAAGCTGGCAGCAAAGGTGGGAGTGAGGGTGGCAGGGGGCTCCTGGCGGTGTGCCCTCTATTATGGCGGTGTGCCCTCTATTATGGCGGCGTGTCCTCTATTATGGCGGCGTGCCCTCTATTATGGCGGCGTGCCCTCTATTATGGCGGCGTGCCCTCTATTATGGCGGTGTGCCCTCTATCATGGCGGTGTGCCCTCTATTATGTATCTTGGGCACTATGAACTGCCCACACCTGACCTCAGTCTGAGCTCTGGACTCCAGTGTCCTGGCCCATTTGTCACAGAACAGATAGACGGACAATGGCGTCCAGGTGAACTCTTCCTAGCAGGGCTCTCTACTTCCTGTCTGCAGACTTCTTTCCTCATCTCGAACCATCTGCCTGTTAGGCCCAGACCCGCGAAGTCCCCCCAAAACCAACAAGAAGACTGAGTCCCATATGTAAAAACAAAGAGCCTTTATTTTATGCAAGTTTGCAAACTTGGTCTCTCTGCATGGCCAACGTATTGGAATAAACACAGAGCCCTGAGCTCAGTTAGAGCTGGGTCTTTATAGTAGTAAAGGTGGGGTAAGGGGTTTCTGAGGTTCAGGACCCCTGGTTGGTTGACATTTGTCTAGGGGTGTCCTGATGAGTGTGTGCTGTCAGGTGATCCTATCTACAATGGTTGGAATGGTAGGTTCCTTTGGCTGGTCTGTTCCTGGGTGATGCTCAGGTAATCTCAGTTTGTGGTTTTTCCTGCAACCAGGCATTGCTCCAGGGTAAACTCCTGAGACTCAGGCCTCCATTAAACTTATTAATGTCTGCGTCCTACACTGGCAGGTGATAATAGTTGGAAGTAAAGAACTTCCTTTGGGTGCTCTGTTTCTATTTAGCTTATCATGGCTGGCTCCTACGCTCACAAACCCGGGAGTTATCCTTGGTCTGTCCCTCTGATTCATCTCTGCATTAGCGCACAAATTCTGACATCATCTCTCCGTCTACCCAGCTCCCAGGAGTCCAGGCTGTTCTGCCCTCCCACCTGGACACGTGTGTAACCTCTTAGCTCCCCGCTTCCATCTTCGCTCCTCTCTTCACCCAGCAGCCTATTATTTCTCTCTTTTCAGAAGCACACTGGATCCTCGGTGTCCCTACCTAAAGCTAACTGGTGGTGTCTTTGTCAAGGCCTCGAGGTCCTTCGTGTGGGGCCTCTGCCCACATTTCCACCACCTTCTTCTTCTCCCTCCTCACTCCAGATACCATGGCCTTGGAGGAACACCAAGCCGGCTTCTGTAGCTGTCTATTCTCTACCTTGGAACAATGTCCCCAGCTTGACCAACAGCTTTTCTTACTCTCCAGGTTGCAGTTTCTCCCTTCCTTCCTTCCTTCCTTCCTTCCTTCCTTCCTTCCTTCCTTCCTTCCTTCCTT